GCTCCGCGTCTTCCTGGTCTGCAGACCAGGGAGACGCGGAGAAAGCCCCGGAGTACACGGGCGACAGGACCGCGAGGTCCCGCAATCCGTGTCCTCCGGGGCGAGCCCCGTTCGTAAGTGCGGATCCGACATAAGCTGGATCCGCGTAAGTCGGGGGCTGCCTGTATCATATTTACTGTCTTGTCAGCTATACCTTTCCTAATGGTTCCTAACATTCCATTAGCTTTTTTGACTACAGCTGCATGGTAAGTGCATGTTTTCACAGAGATAGCCACAATGATTTCAAGAGCTCTTTCTTGAGTGGTAACAGCTAATTTAGATCCCATCATTTTCTATGTATAGCTGAGATGTTTGACAGTCTCCATTACTTTGCATTTATCAACATGGAGCTTCATTTGCCATTTTTGTTTTTTCTCACAAAACTTGATTACTAGAACTTTGTAACTCTCTGCAGTCTGCTTTGGACTTAACTATCTTGAGTAATTTTGTATCATTGGCAAATTTTGCTACCTCACTGTTCACTCCTTTTCCCAGATCATTAATGAATGTTGACAGTGCTGGTCAGTGATGGGGTAGAATAGGCCCTGAGGCCCCCTGCTCGAGGACTTGTGGCCCTGCAACACCTCACCCCAGAAAAAGGCAGTAGAGAGCTCCTCCAAACTGCCTAGAGTGACTGTGTAGGGATCAGCCAATCAGGACCCAGCAAGTCAGTACAAAGGAAGTCAGTTCCTCTTTGGAGCTTGAGCTGTGCAGACTGTGTGTGACTCGGTTGGGTCACAGGAGAGCCACCATAAACAGAGAGTTCAGGAACTAGGGGATCTTAAGTTCATGAATGAGCATCTGAGTGAAGAGCTCCAGTTCATCAAGCAGGAAAAAGAGTGTTTGCTCCCTACAGTGTATGACTACGAAACACAGAGACTCGACATTCAGGAGTCTGAGAGACAAGGACCCTGGTAGATCAGGGCACAGAAAGGCTATAACTAATGGCCTTCCAGACAGAGAAGTCTGGGAGAGGGAAAACTTTGCTAACATGGGGCAAAATGGGGTACAATGGAAGAGTGCCTCATACAGAACTACCACCCCACTCCTATTAGGAAGGAGAGGAGTGTGATGGGGTGGAGTAGACCCTAAGGGCCCCTCCCACATCCCGCCCCAGAAAAAGCAGTAGAGGAGACCTCCTAGCAGGCCTGAGTGTCTGCAGGGGAAGCAGCCAATCAGGGCCCAGCAAGCCAATACAAAGGAAGCAACTGCACCAGAGCCAAT